CCCCCCCACCCACATCCCCTCTTTTTGGGGGGGGGGGGGGCATTTTTCCCAGCCCGCCAATGAATTGGCTATCGGCTCTTTTAAAATTGGCACTTTTTGGGGCCTTTTGCACTTCTTACAACCCAAGGCAAAGAATATCGGTCAAAACAAAATAGTGAAGGACAAAGTTGTTGTCAAACACTCAGATGTTGTTCCTTTACGGTGACTCCTATCTTGATTATCGTAAGTGTTAAGAGACCCCAGAGGAAGTCATTTGACTCCTCGTACATAGCCAGTTGTGGCATTTGGCCAACGTGGGCGCTGCGTTGTGCTGCAGATGAGGCTGTCGGTGCAGGATTCCACCCTGGCCAGCACGCAGGCTGGCCTGCGGGCCGCCGAGGAGGAGGTGCGCTCGCTCAAGGAACTCGCGGCCCGCCTGGAGTCCGAGCTCCACGTGGGAGAGATGGAGCGGCGCCAGCTCCACAATACGATTCAGGAGCTCAAGGCAAGTCCCTTTGATGGATTGCATACCATGCGAGTAGCCTCCGGTCAATGTTCCCAAATTGCTTCCAGGGCAACATTCGAGTGTTTTGCCGAGTGCGCCCCCAAGTGAACGGCGGCCTGGGCAAACACATCCAGCTGCCAGCCAACGACGACAAGGCCATCACGCTGGCCAAAACGGAGGAGGTGAGCAAGGCTGTGGGTTTTGTTTTGCATTCGGAGTGTGGCGAAGAAAATAACTTTTGGACTTTGTACGCTTGAAACAATATTTCATTACATTGGGGGTGATCGCTGTCCAGTTACTGAGGACGATGTCTATTTATTTTTCGGGAAACACTCGCTTTAAAAAAAAAAACCTCTGACATGTCTGCTCTCAGTCTCACACAGGCAAGACCACCGAGACCCAGAAGAACTACAACTTCACTTTTGACCGCGTCTTTGGCCCCGACGCTACCCAGCAGGAGGTACGCCAACCGCCATCAAGTCCCAACCCACGGGACGGCCGTTGTCTTAAGATCCGGTTGCCTCTCCGCCTCGGTCCCGAGCAGGTGTTTGAGGAGATCTCCCTGCTGGTGCAGTCGGCGCTGGACGGCTACAACGTGTGCTGCTTCGCCTACGGCCAGACGGGAAGCGGCAAGACGTACACCATGGAGGGGGCCGAGGACCACCGGGCCCTCGGCATGATTCCCAGAGCCGTGCAGCAGATCTTCAGAGCCACCCACAAGCTTGCCGCCCAAGGCTGGGAGGTTAGTTGGTTGATTCACATGTTTGTGTCTTTGACTGCATGGAAATAGTTTGGGATTTTTCATTGAATGTTGTGAGGTGTTTTTGTTTTTGTTTGCTTTTTAAAACCAGTTGTTTGTTTGTTTGTCTGTGCTGTCTGTCTGGCTCATCCGTGACTGCGTATGTACAGCAATACCAAAGCAAATCCATTTCAAATCAAGCCCGCAAGATCGTATATGGTGTTAATTGACAAACACAAAAACGAAGGCCATCTTTGCTAGAATTAGCTAGTTTTATAACCCGGAAATGGAGTTTCAGTGAGGTTTTATATAATATAATATTAGAGAGAGAGAGATCTCTATCTCTGTTTTTGAGTGCGTGTCTTTGGATCTCTTTCTGTGTCTTTGTGTGCCCGCATCTCTGAGCTCATGAGTGCCTTTCTGGGTCATTCCACGAACGAGTATGTGTTGGTGCCGTCTATCTGCCTGTGAGCATGCGTCGCCATCTGTCTTTCTCTGTCGTGTATTGGATGACGTGTAAAAATGTCAAAGTTGCCTGGCAGCAGGCGATGTGCATTGCTCGTCCTCGGCCAGCGATGCACTCAGACTGTCCTCCCGGCAGTTCTCCTTCACGGCCAGCTTTGTGGAGATTTACAACGAGTGCCTGCGCGACCTGCTCTACGCGGACAAGGCCAGCAAGAGGCCAGAACACGAAATACGCAAGTCGACCGGCAACAAGATGACCATCACCAACCTCACCTACCAGAAGGTCTCCAATGAGGACCAGGTACCCCCCCTGCCCACGGAGTCTATCTCTGTAGGCAGTAAATTGTGTCATTTCCCCTGCTAGGGGTCGCCAGAGCCAAACTTTGAGACGTTCAACAGGCTCCACACACACAACACTAGCACGACATGGACCAACCTAATGGCTGTCTCTCTGACCACTGCAGGTCCTGTGCTTGATCGCCTTGGCCAACCAGAACCGCTCCACGGCCCCACATGGCAGGACTGATCGCTTAAAGGGCCGATCATGTCTTACATAATTGCTCTTGCTTTTTTGCAAATTTGTGGGCGGCGGCGGTGGCGCGGACTCCACGGCCCAGACGACCCAAAACGACCGCTCCTCCCGCTCGCATTCTGTCTTCCAGCTCGACATTGAGGGCGTCAACGTGGGCAGGGATGTCAAAAGCAGCTGTGAGTGCTTGACTGATTACGACGGATGGAAATGCACGCCGTCGCGCGTATGCTTCGGTGTGCCAAGCTTAAATCCCTATGGAGCCAAAAAAATGGAAGAATGTGTTTTTAATTAGAAACCTGATCAGATTGGACTTCATAAAATGATGACATTCAAAAAAACATTGAGCTGCTCGTGTGTGTGTGTGTCCATATCTGGGGGGGGAAGTAAAATCCAGAAATGGTTATACAGACGGCTCATTTCTCAATCAGCAACAGTGATTTTAGTCATTCCTCACTGAGGATAAAGAATCAATTCCTGTGCGAATTACATCCTACACGAATAGAGTTCAAAACATCTGTAACATCGGAGCTATTTCTTAGTTATTTTCTGCACTGCGTGAGCATTCAGCAGGTGGAGGCCACAAATGAATGAGCATTTTGTGCACCTTGCTATCTTGTCAAGAAATGTTTCACGACCCCGTTTTTTTAAACACTATCACCATCTTAAATTTTGCTTGTGTGCCCAGCCACCCTGTGTCTGGTGGACCTAGCAGGGAGTGAGCGGATGGTGAAGAGTCAGTCTCAGGGCGAGCGCTTCAAAGAGATGACCGCCATCAACAGCTCCCTGTCCAACCTGGGCATCGTCATCACCGCACTGGCCAACAAGGTCAGTGAGCAAACCCGTCTTTCTCTCCTGTCAGTGGTCGGACGTTGAAAGCAATTTGTGGAGATGGCGCTTGATGTCGAGGTATCACTTTGAAACGAAACGCTTCAACGGTGTTCAAATGAAGTCGTCGTGTCACGTGTTCATGTATCTAACAGAGCACTTGTTGGCGTGTTGCAGGATACTTTCATTCCTTACAGGAACTCAAAGCTCACCTACCTGTTGCAGGGCTGCCTGGGCGGGAACAGCAAAACGTGAGGACAAACTTTGATTCCTTTTTCACTTATTACTGGACTCAAAGGCAGGACATATTTGAAAACATTTTGCACAGAAAAACACAAAACATAACATGAATGAAGAAATGAAACTCGCAGGTTTTCTTGTCTTTCTTATTCTTGTTTATTTATTTATTAACTGTTGCTCAGCCACTTAGTTTTTTGTTTTCTCTCCAGTCTGATGTTCGTCAACATTGCTCCAGAGCCGGACAGCTTTGGGGAAACGCTCAATTCTTTGAGATTCGCCAGCAAGGTGAGCTTCACCCTGGCCTCGTTTGACATTTTGTGACTTCAGTTTGCGTAGGATGACAAGAAGAAGAGATTTCCTCACGTGATGTCTTTTGTCTCTGTTGCCCTGGCAGGTCAACGACTGCGTGATCGGCACCGCCAGCGCCAACCGGAAGTAGAAAAAATGGTCGCTGCCCCTACTCTTGGGGACAAAGACATGTTTTTATTTTTTTTCCTTTTAATCAAATAAAAGTAACCTTCGGCCAAGGTATCGTGACTGATTGATGCCCGGCCATATCATTGTATTCACAAATAGTTTTTATAATCCCATTTTTAAAAGACTTTCTGAGTCCTTTTTAATTAAGGTGGTCGCTTCATATTTCAGCAAAACATCTTGGATATTTGGTTGATAATAAAATACATTACACACCCTTTATACCTGATCCCGTGGTTTTCATTTCAAGTGGGCATATTATGAAGTGGCTAGTTCTGATACAGTCATCTTCACACAAAATTTCTCAGCCAACGATTTGACAGCTAGGCCGTAGCTCTAAACTCTGCAAGTTGATGTCCACAAACTCCACATGGAAATGACCTGGGCATCTCTCAAAAATTATTTACACAAATACTTCCGAGATTTTCAATAAATGTTGTGCGTTTGCATTCGTCACGACTTGTTTCATTCATTTGATTTGTCAAACGTGCTTTTGTGGATGTGCGCACGTGCGCATTTATTTTTTTCACACTCACTCACTCACACACACACACACACGTCTCATTTTCACGGTTGAAAGTGCCATCCCGTTTCTGTTCGCGAGAAGGCAGTGTTGCTGTCTACATTGAACGGGAACGAGACATCTCCCGTTTCTTGTTTAACATTTGGAAATTGAAATTCTGATTATCCGAGCTACTATTATGTGATTATTTAACACAACCCGGGAAACAAAATACGACCGTAATTTATTTCTCTTGAGTTTTTGCATTCAGACCGAAGACGTCCTTCAGTTGCTGCTGCCTTCTTTCTTCTGAGTCGGCGCAGCAGCGGAGAAAGATTTAAGATTCTTCGGTTCGTGTCTCTTCTAGTCACTGGATATGACGTTTGGAAGCAGATACAGTATTAAAAATGGAAAAATCGACTGGTTATTTAAGTTTCGTTTTAGAACAAGAAAAGTCTAATAAGTTTGCTTTTCAATTGCTATTGCTCATTCTACAACGAAAACAGTATCGCGCGAGACACAAATCTAAAACGGCTCTTCTACTTATTTGTGATTCCCGGAAGTTGTCAATGATAGTATTCCTCGTAGTGACCACAAGATGTCGTCAACGTAGCGCCTGAAGACGATGTATTGTGTAACGATGGCCAGGTTGCAGAACTTTCTCGCAAGCGATTCACGTTCATTTTTGAGGCGTGAAATTGGTACACCTCTTTTCCACAGTAAACCAGTCATGCATGACAGATCAACTCACACACACACACACACGTCTCATTTTCACGGTTGAAAGTGCCATCCCGTTTCTGTTCGCGAGAAGGCAGGTGGTGCACTCCGACTGTCCTCCCGGCTGTTAGTTACTAGGGTCGTAGGAACACCCTGAACCTTAAAATTAAACGTTTCCCTGGCACAAGTGTCAACCCTCTTGTCTCGAGATCCATGTTCGCCACATCCAATATGGCGGAGGTGTCGTCTTATTAGTCAAAGAAAATGGCAATATCTATGTACATATGTCTCCCCTCCCTGTCTTAAAGGCGCCGCGTCACCGTCTGGAGAAAAGGAAGATAAACATCTTCCAGAAATGCCTTCCAAATTTCCGCGCCTGGTTCGACCGGCGGGACCGACTGGCACGACCGCTGTG